TTAAATGAATCCTAGGTGTTACCAAAAACCCCAGAGTTTTGCAACAAGAGGGAAGACACCGCTGGCAAGAAGAATGTTGAAGCTTTGAAACTTTGTTGAGTGCTGAGGTCTGCAAGCAGGATTATGTGGAAGTACAGCAGCAGGGAAGACTAACTTAAACAAATAATGTTCTTATAATAAAACTTGAAGCTGTTTTTTTTTTTTTTCAGTTACTTGGAAATAGTTAAATCAGTTAAAAAGCTTGGTTTTCTTATTAGTGGTTCTGATGGTTTCAGCATGTTTCTGGTGAGGCAGCCTATTGATGTGCAGACCTGTATTAATAGAACGTGGGATCCTGATCAGATAGGATCTGAGAATAGTGTTAAATTTCTGGCAGTGGTTTAGATTCAATATTTGACAAGACCTTGTCAAGAGACACCAAAACCAACTTCCAAATTGTGGTGGTGTTAAAGAAAATTGCACATGCTTACCTTACCATGAGACTGGTCAGTGTGTTGCGTTCAGATTGAACTACTTAGCTGCAGCTGTTAGAGTCACAGACTATCTTAACTTAAAACTATTAAAACATTTACGTTTGATCAAGGGAGCTTGGTTGCCATGCTTAACACTGTTCCTTGGTTTGATATGATACCTTTCCTCACTCTTTGAATGTGATACTGCATTTTATTCAGCCGAAAATGGTTTATGAAATAGTATCATGTCACTTCAGTATGTTTTTAGGCACTGAGGATAGGAAATGAGGAAGGGAATTGGTTGCTGCAACTGCAGTCTCTCTTTGAGTAGCCATTTGAGCTTTTCTTGTTAGATGGCTTCTCAGAAGTGAGTGTTAATGTCTGAGGACCATAATGAGATGTTTTTCAGCCATAAAATTGCTCATCTGTGCATTAAACTCTATCTTTGGTATGTGAAAAGTGTAGCTGTTTTCTCAATTCAAGACTTTGAGTGGCAACTGCTTTGTCTAGGGAGGTGTAGTCTGTAAAAGCATCCTACTAACCTGATGTTGCAAATAGTTAAACATAATTTACATGTAAATGACATATGCAATTGAGTAGTGATACATGAAGACTTTCTGTTTTACAAGTAATGTTAATGAGCCATTCAGACCTCTGATTCTGTTGATGTTTAGGAGTGGGAGGGGGTTTTGTCTGTTTAAAAAAAAAGATGGCATGATACAAAATAAATTAGAATTTGTGAATGGCAGTTTCTTAAGTAGGACCAAAGCACTGTAATACAGCATTAATGCATTGTTGTATTCTTATTACTAGTATTTTTTACAGTTATAGTTACTTCCTAGATGCTGTGCCATTAGACCTCTATGTAGAGGCACAAGATGCTTACCTGAAAGTGCATAAAATGACGTCTAGCTTAATTGTATGGCAAAGGCTACAAGTTGATTATATCTTTGCGTTAGTGTTGAAAAAGGGAATAAACCAGGATGAGATGTTTGCCGGAGGAGGTAGCATCTTCCAGGAACATCTGGTAGCAGAAGTTCTGGATAACATTTTGACCTTGCAAAAATCTTCCTTTGGGGCTTCAGGCATGCAAACATTTATGATTTGGCTTTAGTTTTAGAAGGAAACTGTTGCTATAGAAGGGTGATGAGGAACCTCACTTTAAACACAGCAGATAGGGCTGTTTTAAAAAAAACAAAGCCAGCATATTAGCTTGAGTTTTTAGTATACCAAAAACTTACTGCAACGGGGCAGATACTAATGAACACATTTCAGCAATATTTGTCCCGATTAGTACAAAACTTGAGAATACATCTAGAGATATGAGGTTTCTCAACTATGAAATTCCCATCTGTACTACAAAATGAGATGGTATCATAGAATGGCATAGGCTGGAAGGGACCCTAGAGATCATCTAATCCAACCTCCCTGTCATGGGCAGGGACGCCTCTCAACTAGATCAGGCTACTCAAGGCTCTGTCCAACTTGGCCTTGAACACCTCCAGGGAGGGGGCATCCACGACTTCGCTGGGCAATTTATTCCAAAGTCTCACCACCCTCGTACTGAAGAATTTCTTCCTAAGATCTAATCTAAATCTGTTCTCCTTCAACTTAAACCCATTTCCCCTTGTCCTATCAGTGGACACTCTTGTAAGAAGTCCCTCTCCAGCCTTCCTGTAGGTTCCTTTCAGGTATTGGAAGGCGGCTATTAGATCCCCCCGAAGTCTTCTCTTTTCAAAGCTGAACAATCCCAGCTCCCGCAACCTGTCCTCGTAGCAGAGGTGCTCCAGCCCTTGGGTCATCTTTGTGGCCCTCCTCTGAACACGCTCCAACAAATCTATGTCTCTCTTATGGTGGGGACACCAGAACTGGACGCAGTATTCGAGGTGGGGTCTCACAAGAGCAGAGTAGAGGGGGAGAACCACCTCTCTTGACCTGCTGACCACGCTTCTCTTGATACATCCCAGGATGCGGTTGGCCTTCTGGGCCATCATACAGCAACAAACTCTGGTCTCCTCTAAACAAGATAGAGGTGGAGCACAGTGTGCTCATTCACGGTTTTTGGACAGACAGAAGCTTAAAAGCAGTCCTTTCACAGAGTTTGGACACTTGAAAGCCCAGGGCTTCTCCATGCAACTGAATCTGCAAGCGTTTCAGTATGTATATGTGTGTTGATGATGAGTCACATAACTTTGAGGAAAGACCTTTTCTCTTTGGCTTGAACATAAACCAATATATTGGCATAAATACGTAACTTATTTACCAGTGCGTACGTGTGTTTATGTGTGTACTTGGTTAATCAAAAGGTGATTTCTCGCCCTGGCTGCCTCCAATGAGGCTTGACACATAAGCAGTGGAATTGCATAAAGTTGCATTTTGTAATGATTCATCATGTTTCTGTGGTCAGCTCTTTTTTTTTTCTAGTAACTAGCAGCTGGCCAAGAAATGCTGTGGTTTGTGTCTGCTTTTGAGCTAAGCTGTTCATTGACAAGTGCAAGTATGCTGATTGTCTATCAGCAAGCCAGACAACTGTGAGTGTTGGACTTGTGCTTTTCTCTGTGGAGAGCATTAGCTTCTCTTTCATCTGTCTGTTCGCCTCTGGAAAATGCCATCCTGTTTGTCCTTCAAAAATCTCAAATTTATAATTTTCTGAGTTCAATTCTTACTCTAGGCCTGAGACTAAACTCTATAAGACTAAAATGTCAGAACAAGGGTAATATATATGATTTCCTCAAGTAGTTAATCTATTTTCAGTGTACACTTGACTCGAATAGCTGCTGTTCTATGGTTAAGCATTGCTGTATGTTTGGAGTTTCACTCAACTTGACAAGTTGTAGAATTGCAGATGAATGTTCACTATTCTGTTACTTTTGAGGCATACCTGAATAAATTTAGAAAGCATGCTTAGAGCATTTTTTTGTATTTTCTTAGGATTCCTTAAAAAATGATACTAAGCATTTTATGTTAAGAAAGAAAAAAATAGATGCATGGGAGATTTTGACTTTCACCCTGGAGGGGGCTCCAGGTTTTGCTGCAACCTGGGTTATTTTTGGATAAAGATGTGGGAACTAATTCTCAGTTTAAAATTCTCAAAACTTTTTTGTTGCTGCTGTTTAGATGTCAGTTGCCATAGTATAAATATTTGCCTCTGATAGGAATGCCCTGACCATCCTGCCAGAAGTCATTCAGGTCGAGCAACCTGATCTAATATCAAGGTTAGCTCCCCTTTGTTTTGAGGGGTGATTTAGGTGACCTCCAAAGGTTCCTGCAGACCTACATTATTCTATGATTTAGTGTCCCCTTAATCATGGTTAACTGCGAGCGTCTTTTCCTTCAAGTTCGGAAACTTAAAGGACTTTAAATCACGTTCATGCTTACTGATACAAGCATACTTTTAACTTAAGTAAATTTTGTTTTAAAGTGATCAACTCATAGAATCATAAAATCATAGAAAGGTTAGGGTTAGAAGGGACCTCAAAGATCATCTAGTTCTAACCCCCCCTGCCATGGGCAGGGACACCTTCCACTACATCAGGTTGCTCAAAGCCTCATCCAGCCTGGCCTTGAACACTTCCAGGGATGGGGCGTCCACAACTTCTCTGGGCAACCTGTTCCAGTGCCTCACCACCCTCTGAGTGAAGATTTTCTTCCTTATTCTAATCAAAATCCCCCTTCTTTCAGTTTGAAGCCATTGCCCCTTGTCTGTTGTGATCAGTAATCGATTTAAATTACTATGACCTTACCGACTTATTAACATCAGGTAATGTCTTTCAAATAAGAAAAGGGACTCAAGTTCACATTTAGTTTTTTGGTTTTGTCTTTGTTGTTTTTTTTTACCCTCTTGGGTTCCCACAGTTGAACCACATTGTTTGACAGTTTACCTAGTGATTAGGTAAATGGTACCCTAAATAAATCTAAAAGTAGCCCTTAGCTGTTACTATTCCAGCTAGAAATTAGGTGGGTTTTTTTAATACCCAGGTAAATTCTCCCTCCTTGGATCTCTGTATATAGATTCTTGAGGTTACAATAGGTGTATCCTACTTCATGGTTTCTCTCTTTCTCCCAAAAGTCTACATGGGCAACGTAGTGTTCTGTCTGAGATTTCTTACTCTGAGAGGTCACTAGGCCAGGGAAATGGGATGTTGAAAGGATTACCTAGACTCTTTAGACTGACTTGTCTCAAAAGTGCTATGGAGCTGAGACTTCTAACTTGACTATCTATTTTAAGAATTTCTGAATTGACGTAGACATGGCTAGTTGCCTTTCCTATTTCTGTTGAAAAGCAATTACTGACTTTTTTTTATAAAAAGGAAACCATGAGGTAGAGCATTGACTGGATGTAAATGAAGACAGCTACTATTCTGAATGCTGAATAAAGGCGATGTAATATGAAGTAATAAAGACAATGTAATACGAAGTCATAGTCAACTAGAGCTTGTTAATGATCTGACTACCATACCCTACTGAACTACTGCGTTTGTAATAGTGTGTTAAGGTACTCTGTTGTTAAATGCATGTCAGTGATCGTGTTCCACCTTTTTTTCCAGAAATGTTATGAACAAAAACAGTACAAAAATGGACTCAAGTTCTGCAAGATGATCCTCTCTAACCCGAAATTTGCTGAACATGGAGGTAATTGCAGACTTAAAAGATTTGTTTTTTCTCTTGTTGTGAGTTTAAGTGTATGATCAGTCTGTTCCATGCTATTGAGAAAGGAGCCTGTTACTGAGAATGATTCTGGCCTCATGACTGAATAATTACTCTGGGTTTTCAGTCTTTGTGCATTTAGACCAAGTTTCCACCCTAGCTCAGTCAAACTCCTGTGCAGTGGAATGAAGAAGATCAAAGTATATGGTGGAAGCACACTTCAGTGAAGCTTCCAAGTAAGTTGCCTTTCTAGGTTTCTGGGTCAGAATGCTAGTGTGGGGTTTTCTTACATTCCTATTTAATAGCAAGCCAAATCTTTTTTGAATATTACTTGAAGGTATTCTGCTGAAGAGTTAAAAAATCTTGTGTTTTTTGTGAAGTTCATACTCTGAATTTTCAGTGCTGCATACTAAATTGGTACTTATAAGGAGCAAAGTTAAGTGTAATAGTGTTGCTGCTAAAGACAGAATCTGGAGATCCTGTTGTGATAAATATTGCAAGAAACAGGACAGCAAAATGTTGCTTCTATTTACATCTGTCAGAACTTAATCCTCAGTAAGATACTCTAGTCTTACTGTATTACAGGGTTTCTATTGCATGGCTCAGCCAGTCTTTCCTTCTGATACAGTGATTTTTTTTTCTTGGTTGTCTGCTGTTGAAATGACCTAACACTGAGTGTGCATGTACTGTCATTAAAATTATTTTCCTGTTTGACGTTGTCAAATCTTGGCAAAATGGTCTCAACAAATCCTTTTCATGATTCCATCAGTGTCTACTTTTTTTTCGTTGTCTTCATTACTTCCCTAGAGATAAAAGTACAGTTTTCTTGTTGCTTCAGAGCTGGAGTGGCTTGTCCAGCTCTGACCTAATGGGTTTGTCTACTAGCACTTGTGGTTTTATAACATCTCAGTATATGTTTCTGTCTTTCCTGCTCTTGCTGCCTCTTAAACTTTTCCAGGACAACTAGCTGCCTTGGCAGTCCACATACTACTTGGGCTCTGAGCCACTAATGGCTTTGAAGCTTGGGAGCAAAGCCTGGAACGAACAGCTGAAGCAGAACTAAGCTGATGAAATGATCTGATGGGAAGCTGCAGTTGTCACACTTAGCTTCAGAGACAAGGAATTTGAAAAATTTAGTGAGAAGGTGGCAAACAGATGGATTGCTGTGGCTGGACAGTTATCTCCCTGGTGTGGGAAGGTAGGAGTAGCTTGCCGTCCTTCCCACAGTAGGGATATTCTTTTTCAAGCTTCCTGATATTATTGGGAAGGTATTGTTTTAGCTTTCTCTCATCTTAGTGTGAATATAGGTCAGTTTAAAACCAAAATAAATACCTTCACTGATTTTTGGGTCATCACTCACGTTATGTGTACTGTTACAGAAAACAGTGTTAAACAAGTCTATCAATGAAACTTCAAACTGTGATGAGCTGTTGTCATTAATACTGGGGAAAAGATTGCAATGGAAGGAGAACCAGAGTACAAGGATGAAAAAGTGACTAATCTTCTGGCAGGGGCCAAAACAAAGTGGTCTCTTTTTTTAGCAAAAAAAACTGAAACGCAAATCTGGAACAGCTTTCAGGCATAGTGCATGCATTACATGCAACTTGTTTCCCACAGTGGTACTTGAAGCATGGGGGAAGAGAGGGAGCAATAGTCATACCGAACATATTGTTTGAAGTCTTGTGCTTCTCAATGTTGATTAAAATGCTGCTACTTTGAGAAAGTCTTTTACTCCCAAAATACTGTAGCAGGAAATATGCTGCTCAACTAATGCTTTGTAAGCAACCTGTAGTAGTGGAGCTCTGTGACAGATTTGTTTCTTACGGTATGACACAACCTAATGAATTTCTTTTCTTGTTGTGCCTACCTGGAACTTTAACACACATTGAAGCTCTCTAAAATTGCTTTAGCTTATTTTTAACTCCCTTTAAAGCCAATTAAATGTAGTTTTTAATTAATAGTTTGTGTTGTCTGTGTTCACATCTGTATTATGTTCTGCAGTGGTCTTTTTAAGATCAATTTCAAGAAAGGAAATGTTTCCATATAACAGTCTTCAGCTGTGCTAGGCTGCTATCCTGATCTAAATTTATCATTTAATGGGGAATGTTACTGTGTAACAACTTCAAAGGATATCTGCACTGTGAAACTGGCATACGGGAAGTCAGAAACATAAGTATATGGTATTTCTTACAGAGACACTCGCGATGAAAGGACTGACCTTGAACTGCTTAGGGAAGAAGGAAGAAGCATATGAATTTGTTCGTAAAGGACTTCGTAATGATGTGAAGAGTCATGTCTGTATCCTTTGTAATACAAAACCTGATATTTCTGCTATGAGTCCTCACTTCTGCAAGTATGAGTTGTTGCTACATCAGTCCATACTTTTGAAGTACATAATGTAGTCTGTATAAAAAAATCTAAAATAGGGTGGCTACAGTGAATATTAATTGATAATCAAATATTTGAAATAAGATTTTTGTTTTCCTTTGTATAGTTTTGCAGAATCTTTAAGAAAAATGTTTTTTTTACATTTATCTCTTAGGAAAATACTATCTATAATTACTTCCTGTGGAGAAATAGGTACAGCTTGTAAAATCTGGTCTCTTCTGAAGTTTTCATCTCTCTTAAAAAGATATAAGAAGTCTGGTCTAGAGGTGCTCTGAAAATATCTGTTTTGCCACTAAATTTTAGATAATGGTTTAAGTTTATTGGCTTGACGACAACTACTCTATTCTAAGCTTGTCTTCCAAAAGTTTTTACCTGTGACATACTTAACAGCTACCCAAGAGCTTCGGGAGTAGCTGTGTTCTGTTTAAGCCACAGATAGGAGGCTACTGCATGTTTGCACACCATGCCTTACTTGTTCTGTATGCATTTGAGTTGCATGTTAAGGGGCAAATTTCCAATTAATTATTTGGTTTTAATGTTAAAAGAAAAATCTTCCTTTAGTTAATCACAGGAAATGCTTTTTGATGGCCATCTAGTTAAGGCAAAGGGATGGCTGTTTACATCATTCGGTGGATAAGTAATTGGATGGATGGTCGCACTGGACCACTCGGTGGATAAGGAATTGGCTGGATGGTCGCACTCAAAGAGTTGTGGTCAACAGTTCAATGTCCACGTGGAGGCCTGTGACGAGTGGTGTTCCTCAGGGGTCGGTACTGGGACCAGTGCTATTTAACATCTTTGTTGGAGACATGGACAGTGGGATCGAGTGCACCTTCAGCAAGTTTGCAGATGACACCAAGTTGTGTGGTGGTGTGGACATGCTGGAGGGAAGGGATGCCATCCAGAGGGACCTTGACAGGCTGAAGAGGTGGGCCTGTGAGAACCTCATGAAGTTCCATAAGGCCAAGTGCAAGGTCCTGCATGTGGGTCGGGGCAATCCCAAGCACAAGTACAGGCTGGGTGGAGAATGGATTGAGAGCAGCCCTGAGGAAAAGGGCTTGGGAGTGCTGGTGGATGAGAAGCT